ATTTCCATTATGATTGACAGTTTGACCTCTGAATTGTTTAGAAATGTATTCCTCAATTTACAAACATATAAGGGATTTCTGAATTTTTTCTAATTGACTTCTAGCTTAATTGCCTTGAAGTCAGAAGTCAACATGAACCAAAATCATTATGGCTCAATATTTTGAAATTAAGATTTGCTCTGTGATCCATTATCTGGTCAATTTCTACAAATGTTTCCTGTGATTTAAAAGTATGTGTATTTTGAAGTTGTTTGCTACACTTTTTTAAAAAATGTAACATTTAGTTGGAACACACACATACATACACACACACACACACACACACACACACACACATATATATATATATAATATGTAAAATATATACAAATACAGGCTGTCTCAAAAAATGTGTATACACTTTAACAGCTGATAGCTCAATTTTGAAAATGAAATGTAGTTTAATAAACACTGCTTTTATAATTATTTAAAGTGTATTTATACATTTTTTGGGATACCCTATATATAAATATAATATATATTAATATTTTTTGCTTGTTCAATTACTAAGAGGGAGGTGGTACATTAAAATCTCCCCCAATGATTGTTCATTTCTTCTTTTAATTCTACACATTTTGAGTCATATATTTTCACTTATTAGGTATATACAAAGTAGGAATTTTTATATCTTTCTGATGAATTGAGCTTTTATCATTTTGAAATGACCCTCTTTATTTCAAGGAATGCTTTTTTTTTTTTTTTTTTTGCCATTTGATACCAGTGACACAGATTCTTTCTGGTTAGTATTTTCATAGTTTATCATTTCTTCCTTTTACTTTCAACCTTTCTTATTATTTTATTTTAATGTGTTTCTTAGGACCAAATATTAGTTGTATTTTTAAATCCTTGTCAATATTTATACTTTAATAGGAACATTTAGTTCATTTATATGTAATGATAATTAATGAGATATTTAAGCTAAACCTACCATATTATTTTGTGTTTTCTATTTTCTGGCTCATCATATATATTTTTTCTTCCTTTTCATCTTTCTTACCATCTTTTCTCTCAACTCGTTTTTCTGTGTTTTGTTGTGGGTTTTTTTTTTTTTAGACATATCTATAGTTTACTGATTTTTCTTCAGTTATAATCTCTATTGAACTTATCAATGGAATTTTAAATTTTGACTTCTATTGCTTTATTTTTCAGTCCTAGAATTTTTATTTAATTCTCTTTTAAACTGCCTACCTCACTTTGTATAATTTCCAGTTCCCTGCTCAGATTGTCAGACTTGGCATTTGTTTCCTTAAATCTAGTAAGCACTATTGTTTTACGGCCTGTGACTGATAATCGAAATATCTGACACCTCACTAGGTCTGCTCTATTGTCTGTTATGTATTATAGATCTTACTCATGGTGCTTCATTTCCTTGTATGACTGGTTATCTTTGTGTGCTGGGCATTGTATTTTAAACTCACTATAGGAGTACTTTGAAACCTAAGACTATAGTATTTTCCTTTAGAGAGGGTCTCAATTGGCTTCTTCTACCAGATGCATGCATAGTGGGCACTGGCCATTGGGACCAGTTTAATCCAAGTTCAAAGCTTGAGATTTCCTGGCCCATCTAGCTGAGGGAAAGCTGGACTAAAAGTCCAGGCGAGGGTGGCTCACCTGAAGTTTACCCTTATGTACCAGGAGGGTGGACTTATATGGGATCTCAGCTTAAAGCGGAAACTGCTCTATCTCTGTCCCCATTTTTGGTGGGCATGGACTTCTATTGTCTGACTTTCTGAGGCCACCAAACTGCAGTTTTGTTTCATCGCTGTTTCTTCTGAATCGGCAGGTATCCCAGGTAACTTGGGCTGACTTCGTGGGGTTCTCGTGTTCTCACAAGTATTCATCTGACATTTTCTCACGGGCTTATTGGCTCTTTGATGCTTACAAGATTTTAAATATATTCTGTCCAGCTTATAAAAGTATAAGTACATTATATTATATTTAAAAATGTTACAGCTGCACTGCATAAAAGTATAATTTTGGTGTTCTGGCTTTAAACCCTGCCCATTACATGTCCTTTGGGTGAAATGCATCTTTCTGGTTTTTAACTTTGTTCCGCTTTTTTAGGTCAATGACTAACACACTCTCTGCTTCTGCTGTCTTGCAGGAAGACCGGACGTGGCACTTTGCCATGTCTGTGTTCCTGACAGAATCATATGGACACAGCGTTCTCCTACCAGCAGGGTTTGGCCTCGTGGTGGCTGGATCTTTACTAATATTTGGGGTCTTAATTGGTGATTAGATTGACAGGAAACCAAGAAATAGAGGTAATACTCTTATCTATGGCATATACAACAATGTGGTGAATTATGATCTCACTTGCTCTTTTGGTTTATTTAGTGAAATGAAATACAGATCTGAACATAAGAGCAACAGAGTACAGCTTTTAAAAACTGGAAATAGACTTATTCAGCTTCATGTCACTCTCTGGTACTACATTTTATTTTTTATTTTTATTTTTTTAAAATATGGAACGCTTCACGAATTTGCGTGTCATCCTTGCGCAGGGGCCATGCTAATCTTCTCGGTATCGTTCCAATTTTAGTATATGTGCTGCCGAAGGGAGCACTCTGGTACTACATTTTAAATATTTTAATGTAGTGTGTAGATTCTTGCCCATCGCAGATTTTTAATATCAAATTCCTTATTTTAAAAGAATTCTGGTATTATCTATGTACAAGATACTTGTGTCATTTTTCTTAAAGGCAATTTCTAGGTGTCAGAGATATCTTTGTACCAAGTAATCTGTCTAGACTAGGGATTAATATCTGGAGGCTTATTTGTTCAAATGTAGATCTCCTTTTAGCTTTTGGCTCTATCTTTGAAACCCTCCTTTCTCCAGTGAGAATGTAAAATTTCCCGCGTTTTCCCTTCTCTTCTAATGACTAGTCAACCTGATTGTTCTCTGTCCACCGAGAAGGCTTGGAAGGGCATTCTCTGGAGCCACACCCTTCAGAAGGCTAACTGATTTAGACTCTGGAGTATTGGTTCTTAGGCCGTATTGATAACTTCAACCACAAATCAACTCGAGAAGCGGGTGATATAGCAGTAGGAAATTTTAAGTCCTTTCACTTTTCTGGTATCCTGCTTTTCGTGTCATCTTTCTCTCAAAGTCTGTTTTCGTTTACTTGCAAAGCCCGTTTTTTTTTTTTCCTGTTTTCGTTGCAAAGACTTTGCCTCCAGTGAGCCCATGAGCCTGCTCTGTGCCTCCTGCTTAGGCCCGCAGTTGCTGATAGAAGCAAGACCGTGGTTGGCACAGCAATTTGGTCCAATACAGTTCCTCTGCATCAAACAATGAGGTGGCTGCAACGTGAATCTGAAAACCAAGAGTAAATAGTTTTCCATCTGCAGTTGCTCATGCCTCGCTCTTCACTCTGAATGCCTCTGTAGCCGCTGGCTGTGTTGTGCTGATGCCGGTATTCTCCTACAGAGGGGAGACGACGCAGACCAGGCACGGCTGGTTCTGGTTCGCTGTGAGTGTCCCCACATCCCCCTCGCTCCACCAGAGTGGATGTCAGAGGCGAGGCCTGAGTGCCCGTCAGTGAGTCAGCTCTGCACAGCCCTGCTCGCCGGTTTTGGATCTGGCTAGTCTTTGCCACTGTTCTCCTCACCCCTAATTTGTGAATCAGAGCCCAAATTCCACAGACATGAAGTCAATAGAACAGCAAAGTCTCTGTCTGCAAAGTACAAATTAGCATCGGATCTGGTGCCGATGGGGTGGGAAGAAGAAAACGCTTAGAATCAACACAATAACGCTGGGCTCCAAACCTACATTGAACCTCTTTTTCTTAAAGGTTTTTGTGTTCGTTTAGCTCGTCCTCGGGCTGTCAGATAAGTAACTGTATGTACCACATGGGCCGAGGAAGTACCCTAGCAGCTCTGGCAAACCGGCCAGCACAGTGCTGACCATCGCCATCCAGAGGGGCTGGATTGTGAGCCTCACAGCTGACAACAGAGGCCAGCTGGCTGGTGAGCTGTGCCGCCCTGGGCATCGCGGGTCCTCGGGGCCAAGAAGTAGGCCTGGCTCAGGGAACATGGTTGATGAGCCAGCCAATCAGGTCTCTGAGGGAGGCAGCAAAATAGCCTATAAGAGAGGGCACTTGGAGTCAAACAGGCCTAGATTTGAATCCAGCTAAAACCAGCTATGGCTCATACCAGCTGCGAGTCACTTAACTTGTCCAGACTTCACTTTCCTCATCTATACAATGGGAGGAATAATGACCACTCCCTTCCCCCTTCCGCCAGCCCAGCTTGGGGTTGGTAAAGCCCTTGGCACTACATTTGCTCATAAGAAGCACTTAAGAAAGGGATGATACTGTTGTTATCAAAGGGATATATAAATGGTACTTTGAGGAACGAAGCCCCTCAAAATACATCATAGAAGTCCCTTGGTCATTTTAGAGCTAGAAAAGCAGTACACTAAAAGCATTTTCAAATTCTGGCCAGTGATAAGCTTCCACATCCCCCACCCCCAAATTCAACCCCAAATGTGACGGTTGATCTTCAGTTATGTGACAGTGAGAGGCAGAATTTTTTTCAGTAATGGAGCTAAATGGAAGAATCTGGCATCTTCTTTCTTTTTTCTTCGTTTATGAAACTTGGATCTTTCACACTGCGATGTGTTCAAATTGCCAACTTAAAGCTGGAGCTCGTGGCCCACCCTGCGTTTGTGCAGTCGGTCCCCTCCGCTAGAAAAGGTTCGTGAGCGCTGAGAGCCAAGATAAAGGAAGCTATTGTGGGGAGTCTATGAAAATATACTTCTTACAAAGCCCCTTATAATCATGCTTTCTTTTAAATTGCACTTCTTTGGCTGTCGTGTGGCTTAAATAACACCATCCAAAATAAACAGCTCTGTGGTAAGAGCCGGGTGACGCGGCGTTGAAAGTGTCCTCGGTTTCTGGGGAAAAGAAAATCTTTCTAGTCTCTGATAATTCATCTTAAAGAAGTCTAAAATAAAGCACAGATTCCGGTTTGAGGTTCATTATAATTTTAAAAATGATCTTGTAACTATATTCTTCAATGATGGTAGAAGAGTTGAGAAAAAGCTTTGGAGTCAGACTGCCTGGGTTGAAATCTCAGCTTCTCCTTTTCCCTTCTCTGTGACCTTGAGCAAATAACTTCATCTCTTTGTGCCTCAATTTCCCAACCTGTAAAAGGGAGATACCATCAACTTCTTAGAGTTGTGAGGATTAAGTGAGAGAAATATATGTAGGAGGCTTAGAACTCTGTGCCTGGCAGAGTAAGAATTCAGCCGATTCTGTCCTTTATCTCCATTCTGTCAACATGCTGGTCATAATAATGTCTATTGATATTATTGTAGTTGTTAAGACAGTACGGTGTGATAGGAAAGAGTGCTGAGACAGGAGTTGAAATAATTAGCTCCACAAAACCTAGTGTCTCCAATCCTCAGTTTACCCATTTTTAATTGTTCAGATTCCCACAACTAATCGTGAAGGCCTTTTCCAGGTTGAAAATCCTATGACTGACTAATCTAGAGTTAGACTGAAAGGAACCTTTCTTGTTTCCGCCATCATTCACCCAGTGCATGGGTCGCAAAGCCAGCAAATGCACGGCATTTTTCCCCAGGAGGAAGGATGGCAATCCAGTGGCTCGCAATGTTTCCTTCCTCTCACGTACAGGGACGAATGAGGCGGTCCGGCGGCTGGACCAGATCATCAACATATTTGCTCCCTTGTCCGTGGGCCAGGTGTTGACATGGGCATCTCCTGTGATCTGTGGTGGTTTCATTTTTGGATGGAACTTGGTTTCCCTTCTTGTAGAGTTCCTGTTTCTGTCCAGGGTTTACCAGCGAGTTCCCCAGCTGCCTGTAAAACCCCAGCAACAGGCAGGGGACCTTCCTAGAAAGGCAACAGGAGGCTGTGGACGTTCAAGGTGACGCAAACTCAGAGACGGCTTTTGTTTTTTCTCTCCTTTATATCAGTGTTCCGTGTCTTCTTTCCAGTGCTTGTGTCTGAGCATAATCTCAACTGGAGAAAAAACACATTAAATTTTTTTTGTAAAAAAAAAGGTGCATTGATGTATGTGTTACTACTGATGGTGGGTGCAGTCCCCCGGGGGCCCTCTCAGAGACTCTGTAGGGCATACCTCCGAATTCTCTCACCAGGCGCCAAGGAAACTGGGGTGTTTCTCCACCGAGTCTTGTCACTCATCAGTCGAAGGTTGTTCACAGGGACATTGACCTCTGTGCACGCTCAGCCTGCCCTTATGTCCCTGTGGCTGGAGAGAGGCCCTCTGGCAGAGACGCTGGTGCCCGGGAGAGGAAGCCATTGGTACACACAGGACTTGTCCAATAAAGAAGCAGATGGGGGTGGGAATGAGCTGAGGGTGTTTGGGCAGGGCACTGACATAAAATTTATTTGGATTTTATTTTAGGTGAAATGGACCCTTGGGAAGCCACTGATGGATTCTTAAAAAAAAACCTAGCTGAAACCGGTTTGGCTCAGTGGATGGAGCGTCGGCCTGCGGACTGTGAACTAAAGGGTCCCAGGTTCGATTCTGGTCAAGGACACATGCCTGGGTTGCAGGCTCAATCTCCAGTAGGGGGTGTGCTGGAGGCAGCCAATCAATGATTCTCTCTCATCATTGATGTATCTCTCTCTCTCTCCCCCTCTCCATTTCTCTCTGAAATCAATTTAAAAAAAAAAAAGAAAGAAAGAAACGGGGTGGAGTGGGAAATGTGGTGATGGTGGAAGGAGTGGATCAGAAACCAAGGATGTCTTCCTCACTCATTCGGCAAGCATCCTGCGTACTGCCCCAGCATGCCTCACCACTGCTCCAGGCACCAGGCTTCAGCAAGCCCCTTCCCTCTGGGGGCTCAGAGCTTCACCTTCCCACCTCTGGGGCCACACTCGTGGGAGCGTAGGGTTGGGTGATACGTTTCAGATTTCTCCATGGAGACCAGAGCCCCTTAGTCCACAGGAGCTTTGGAGTATTGGGACAGAAAATGCAAGTTTTGTAGGTCTAATTTAAGAGGTTATAAAATCATGGGTTGAACTGGGAACCTTATTTCTCTGATATAATACGGATGCGTAAGAAATTTTAGAGAGTGGAAGGGAGAGGGAGGGAAACATTGATGTGAGAGAGACACATTGGTTGGTTGCCTCCTGCACATGCAGGGAATATGAGCCTGCAACCAAGGTACATGCCCTTGACTGGAATCGAACCTGGGACCCTTCAGTATGAGGGCTGACACTCTATCCACTGAGACAAACTGGCTAGGGCAGAAACTGTGTTCTTAATCCCAAATAGCTGAGTTAGAAACCTATACTTTCATATGGAGATTGTCTAACCGTAAAATTATTTTTAAGTGGGTGGATTATCTTTATTGGGATATTTGGCTTGCACTTCCAGCTCTTAATTGTATGAACAACTGAGAACAGATTAGCGATTTTAAGATTTATGCAATTCACATTATGATACTCAAGTATTTAGTTCAAAAGAAAGAAAAACAAGTCTACCAGTGACTCTTGTCTCCCTGACACAAAGGAAATGATCACATTTGAAAAATGTGAGATTTCATCATCAATGCCTGCAATTGGGAAAACCATTCAGTATGAGAGAAACTTTAGGCTTTTCTCTATTGCAATAGTGGGGTTTTTTTGTTTGTTTGTTTTGCTGACCCTTGGAAAGGATCCAGAGGCACAGGACACTCCGGACGCTTAAGAGGGAGACAGCTCCGGACGTGGAGCCAGGCAACGCCTGCTGATGCTGGCGAGGTGCCTAAGCTCTCCGTGGGCTGGTTCCTTCTCAGGGAGGGGATAGTAGTGATGGTGCCTACCGGTCAGGGAGGTCCTGGTGATGCACTAAATAATTCCTGTGGGCAGTGTGGTCACAGGGGCTACTTAAACATGAATATTAACTCTCATCTTTAGTCATCAACATCATTCGTATGTTTTGGCTGCAGGTTCAGCATTTTCATGAGCATTGCTGTGTAAGGGTGGAGTGTGGGGTGCGTAGAGAGAAAGAGAGAACCACAGAGCTGAGTGAAACAGATTCTGGTCAAGGTCACATGCTCCCACACACCCAGTGCCAGCAAGGTGCCATTTACAATTTGAATTACAAATGACCTTGGGGTTGGTGGTGAGCTGAAAGCACCAGTGCCCAGGGTGCATCATGCCCTGGTCCGTGTGGTTAGCACGCCAGGCCCGGTGGCCGTGACCCCTGTCCTCTCACCTGGACCAGCAGCCTGTGGCCTGCCGTGGTATCCACCAGGTATCCCTGAGCACAGGACTCATTCTAGGCATTTGCTCGGTAAATACTGGTTTCCATTCTGATGGAAACTAAGTCACAGAACTTTGGCTACAAAACAGTTTGGCACATAGCCCATAAGTCGCTTTGCTTTCCAGAACCTAAGAGCTATCACTCTCTGTGCCCCTGATTTAGAAATAATTCTGTCCCTGCATAATTAGCCCTCAGTTCTCTGAGCGCTTTGCATTGTTCTGCTGCAGCCGGTTCTGAATACTCCTAACTCTGGGAGCACTGAGTGCTCAGGACCAGGCATGGGGTTTACAGATGCGCTCGAGGTCAGAGTGCAGTGTGGGGCGAGGCTTTGGCAGACCAAGCCCAGAGAGACGTAGTGGACGTACCAGGGTGTCAGGACAGCCCAGAAGGAGGACAAGGGCATCCCTCTAGGACAGCAAGCCTGTCCAGTGCTGCAAAGGCAGACACTGGAGGACACAGCATATTTGCTCCCCATATTTCTTTCTTTCTTTCTCCTAATTTTATTGATTTTTCAGAGAGAGGAAGGGAGAGGGATATAGAAACATCAATGATGAGGGAGAATCATTGATTGGCTGCCTCCTGCATGCCCCCTACTAGGAATCGAGCCCACAACCTGGGCATGTGCCCTGGCTGGTAATTGAACCGTGACCTCCTGGTGCATAGATTGACGCTCAACTACTGAGCCACACTGGCCAGGCTCCACATAATTCTTTTTTTTTTTTTTTTAAATATATTTTATTGATTTTTTACAGAGAGGAAGGGAGAGAGATAGAGAGTTAGAAACATCGATGAGAGAGAAACATCGATCAGCTGCCTCCTGCACATCCCCTACTGGGGATGTGCCTGCAACCCAGGTACATGCCCTTGATCGGAATTGAACCGTGACCTCCTGGTGCATAGATTGACGCTCAACTACTGAGCCACACTGGCCGGGCTCCACATAATTCTTGAGTTCAGAATTTAATCCAGGGATCAGAACAGAGAGTAGAAGAGGATTCTAAAGGACCAGAGCTAGACCATAGGAATTCAGGCCAGCCGGCTGGTAAACCACCCAGGCAGCAGCTGGGAGCCGGTGCCCATGGAGGCACCAGGATCCCAGGGAAGATGCCGTCACTCCCGGGGCAACACTGTCATCAGCACGGTTGGCTACTGCCCTGGTTGATGTCTGTGTGGCAGATCCTGAGGCTGCCTCTGGAGTGTAATCAAACTTAGCCTTTGTGTGTTGAAGTTGTGGGGTATAGAGAGAGAGGAGGCCAATTCCTTATCTGCTAAACCAGGAGAGAAGAAGAAAACTCTGGAAATGGATTTGAAACTCAAGACTTCACTCTGTTTCCTAAACATGTTTGAAATGCACTGGAAGCCATAAATAAATACATCCAAAATGAAGATTTTGTTACCTAGTGACGATGGTGGTAATGGTGATTCACAAAGATAATTATAATACCACAAATTAAGACAGTAACTACATGTGCAGATGGCCATGCTACACTCTTCACAATCTCCTATCATGTAATCCTCCGGTGAGACAGTGCCCTTAAACATTCCCATTTCGCAGATGAGGAAACTGAGCAACAGAAAAGCTCATTTAGACAATACAGCGCAAAGGCCGGAATTCTCACTAAGTCTCTGCCACCTATTCACATCTAGTCTGCCCCCTCTGCTGCTGCCCTGAAGGTCTCTGGTCCTTTGACCTCATTGTGCCTCTGCTTCTTCAAGAGAACATTCCAGAAATGGAGCGAGGGGCTGAGAACGGTGTGCAATGCTCCCTGAACTCCCTCACGGGCCTCATCCATGTCATCCTCATCATGTTGGCCCCGCGGCCACAGCAGCTTGGCAAGCTGGTCTTCATCTCCACAATGTGTGTAACCACAGGGCACTCGATGTAGTTTCTTTATGTGTGAAAGTGCAAGATTAAAAATGCCCAGGCTCAGCAGAGAGGAAAGATGCTTCAACCTGAGAGGCAGGCAGCATCTCTGACTGCTCAGAGCTCTAGAAACACTGGCCCTGTCTCAGTGTTTCCAGTGATTTCCCTGCACTGTTCCTGGGGCCTGGCCTGCCTTGTCCTCTCACTACATTGGAGAGCAATTGTGTCTCCAGTCACCTTTAGCCAACAACGTCGACTGTATTCAGCGCATGTTTGCAGTGATGGACACTAGCCAGGACTTGAACAGGGTCTGACTCACCGAGTGCCCATTAACTGAACTCAGATTCCAGCACACAACCTGAAGGGTTTAATTTTGCCAACATGATTCAACGTTTCCAGGTTTTTATTGTTCTTTGGGTTCTAAAATTAGAATCTTCTGGTCAATGTTAAAACCAGAGCGGTGGAGCTTGGTCCCAGTTCCTTGGGCCTGGGCTCATGTTCTGCAGCTGGTTTGTGAACGTGCCTCTGATGTGCCCAGTGCCCCGCAGGAGCATGGAAGCTACTTGTCGAAGTAGAACCTTTGGGTGGTTTCTGGACTTGGGCCAGGACAGGGGTCTGGCGGTCCCTCAGTGGACCTGGCCAACCTTCGCCTTAGCCAAGCCAAGACCTCCAGTTTGACCAGTTCTGATGAAGAAAAACACTCGTTTGTGAGGAGCTAACTCTGAGTTTCTGGCCACTTATAAACAGTCAACATGAAAACTAGCATCTGAGGAGCCTGGAAGAAAATCCCTGTAGCTCCTCACCTGAAGTCATGAGCTGCTATTCTGTAAATGCTGTGACAGAGAAGCGAGGACACTGAGGCCTCAGTGCAGAGCACCTTTCTGCACGTGGGAAAGTCACGTTTGGGGAGTAGAGGTGGAGGGTACCGCAAGACAACTGGCCCCTTGCAGTACAGGTAAGCTCCACTAGGGGGTCTTCTAGTCATGGTTGCATAGTCCCAGATTGTGCTCAATCCCTGTATCACAAAACATTGCAATCAGAATTTTTCAGTTTATGAATAAAAAAGTAAGTTTTGGAAAGGCAACCCTTTATGAGTACAAAACAAAAATAAGCCTTTCAAACTCATCTCTGGCTGTTTATCTGTTCACACGATCTCAACATGGCTTTGCTCTCAAGAGCTGTTGTTTATCCCAGACGCTGGCTTGACCATCAGCAGAGTAGGTCCAGCCTCAGGGTTCACTGACCAACTGACCTAACTCTCGAGTCAAAAGCATGTCTCCACTACCTCTAGCTCCCGTTTCATTATCGGGACAATCTCCTCTGTTCTACTTCTCCCTTCAAGGTACTTGAGACCATGAAGGGGGAAAAGGCATCTTCTCATTTGGGTTCTAAGGAGCCTGGAATGCAGATGGCCCTGCCCCTTCCTCCTCCTCCATTTAAAGCTTCAAGTGCTACATGGCAAATCTGCCCACTGGCTCTCTCTGGCTCCCAGGAGGCTCAGAGCGGGATTGGCAGAAGCCAAAAGCACGAGGTCAAATGGCTTGTTTTACACAATCCTGCTCTCTCCTTGCCCAGCTCTTTCTCCCTCTTCCAATTATTGTATCGTTGGCTGTTTATAAGCCACCTCAAGATATCCTGGAAATATATTGGCGTTGTGTAAATAGCTCTAATAGTCTCTTCAGTTTGTTCTAACAGTTGAGTCTTTCAGTTATTGACTCAGAAATTATTGACTAAATCAGCTTCATCTTACATAGTGATGTGGTTAAGTCGCATTGTGCAATCTCCATCAAGTCAGGAACCCTCAATCACAGAACTTAACACACAGGGAAAACAGTATTTCCCGAGTCATATATTTTAAGGTTTTAGGAATCTCAAAGAACATACCTTTATTTGGAATAGTCACTTGAACTACAAAGATTTGCTTGCTTTTAAGAAACAAGAACTACTTGTTCTCAGGGCTTAGGAACATGTCGAGGCTGTCAGAAACAGGGTATGCCCCTTCTTGAAATCAGATGAATGCAGTATGTGTACCTGAACTGGCATAGCAACAGTGCAACTGTGATACTGGGCAAGTCGCATCTGGGGGATTAGTGACTGGAATTCACATTTAAAGCAAAACCATAGCCATTAGCATAACACTGTATTTCAATCCCATTTTCTTTATAATCTCTTCATGCCCAAGCCTGTCCCTTGGAATTAATAAATCCTCTTTGAAAACATTTCATTCAAGTCAATTCCCTTCATTTCTCAGGGCCCTGGAGCACAACGGAACGGCCTGGACCTGTAGTAGTCATGCTGGCATCTTCCCACTCCTGCTTTCGCTCTGCTGACATGCAGGCATGTGCTGTGTCAGAGGGCAAGCTGCCGGCGGAACACACGTGGGAATGGCTCCACTCCTCATCCCGATTTCTTTGGTTTTAAGGCTACACAACCAGAGCTCAGGACAACTGTTTCTGAGATGGAGCAGGGAATGTACCAAACCTGGAACCATAAGAGGACACCTGAAGGACATTGCTTGCTCCTACATGTAAGATGGCACAATGCAGCTGCTGGAAGCACCCTAAGTCACGGGGGTAGGTGGCAATGGCTCTGCAGGTTATGTTACAGAAGACCAAAGAAATGCCAAGCTTCCTAAAGAAAGGGAGGGACCCCGTTTCTTCACTCCGGGAATAATTTCCAAATCACAGTGAAGAAACATGTAGAGAGCCTGTCTATATATATCCCCGCTGGGGTCTTTGTCTTGAAAATATGCTCCCTGCCCCCTTCATGGCCCTGGAGGAAGGCCCCCAGGTGTCAGGCCACATCCGATGGTCTGCCCTGGCACCAGCATCAACAACCCGCCCCCCCACCCCCCAGGGCAGTGCATTGTTCAGTTTCACAGCCTCTGCATTTAGATAACAAGTTCTGCAAGACCAGTTTCCTCCTCAGTTATAGCTACTTCCTGGAGCTATGGCTCACAACCAATGCATGGCCCATCCCTCCTTTAAAAGCATCTTTGAATATCCCAAGAGAAAAAGGGCGAGTTCAGACTGATTCTTCCAGCACTAAACCATGTGGCTGGCTTATCCATTAAGCTTTGAGATCAACCCAAGCCAGATGACTTAGCACCTCTGTTCATTTCCCTAATTCCTTGGCCAGCCAGGATTGGCCAAGAACATGCAACATTTTTTTCCCAAGGGAAAATTGCCAATGTGTAAAGCAAGACTACGAGGAACCCAAAGTAGCACCAATCAAGTTACTTACAGGTAGAATAATTTTCACACTCCATTTTCTGCTACCATGTGGCCACTAGAACAGATTGTTAAGAGATTGAGGGAGAAGTGCCACATCACAGGTGAGATTTAAACTGCAACCATTAAGATGGGAAAGTGTTGCCTGAAAGATCCATAAACAGAAATTGTATATCCTTGATAACTGAGCCAACATATACCTCGAGGTCCTGTTTCTCAGGTATTTATTGTGTACATGAGTCACTTATGTGATTCATACTCCAAAGTGATTTTGATGTTTTTACCACTTTTAACATCTCAGGAAGTCATTCAAGTGCTGACCCAGGACTATTTCCCCAGAGACTTCATCGGAAATGTCATTAAGAAGCCAGAAAGGGTTAAGTTTTTAGAGTCATGTTTATTGAAACAATTTACATTTAGTAAAACTCATCCTAGATTGGACCAGTGCATAATAACCACTGTAATCAAGATGTCAAACACCTCCTCAAATCGCCCATGCCCCTCCCCACCCCTAGGAATCCATCGATCTGTTTTTATCAAAAGGGTCATATTTAATCATTAAAGTGTTCTACATACAGCATTTTAGAAAAATCTGTAAGCATATAAAACCAGGATTTTTAAAAGGATACGTGGTAACAAATAATCTTTACAACAGTCAAAAGAATGGGATTTTAAAATAACTTTGTAGCCTGAAGCACAGTGGACAAAACGGCCTTAAGTACAGAATACACAGTCTGGTCACTGTGTCAGGCAGGAGGCTGGGGCCGTGGAACAAAAGCTGAAATAATGGAATTGAATTCTATGGGAATTCGCTATGGGGCAGATATATGCTCTAACAGAAATCTGCCCCTACCCTCCCCCACCCCCCGCAACTCACCCCAGCTGTTAGCGCAGTGGTTCTCAACCTTCTGGCCCTTTAAATACAGTTCTTCATGTTGTGACCCAACCATAAAATTATTTTCATTGCTACTTCATAACTGTAATGTTGCTACTGTGATGAATCGTAATGTAAATATCTGATATGCAGGATGGTCTTAGGCGACCCCTGTGAAAGGGTCATTCGACCGCCAAAGGGGTCTCGACCCACAGGTTGAGAACCGCTGTTAGCGTGAAAGGGACAAAGAAAGCAAAAGCCTCTGTTTTGCATATATCAACCATCACCTGTTCAAATACACCTTATCTACTTGAAAAGCTTCTTTCCGGCACAATTCTGTCTCTCCAGCAGCACCAGCCCTGTAAGAAAAGTGCCACCGGAGGTAATTAGATTAGCAATTACTAGGTAAGATGCTATTTAAGAAAACAGCTTACAAAACTGTATAGATAATAGAACTCCCCACTCAGACACAGTCATGGTTTGACTTAAAAACCACATTTTAAAACTCAAAATCCTATGTTAATAATGCTAACAATTCATCTCTACATTTTTTCAATCTCAAAATAGTCACCATTGGAAAACATTTTTAAAGATTGAATGTCCATCACTTAAGCATCCTTTGTGAAGTGGGGAGGGATATGACAGCATTTAATAAATTCCTACCAGGTTGGCCTCAGGTAAATCCTTTAACCCATCAGAGCAGGGGCATATCCCATCAGATTAGAGTTCTCATCCTTGGCCAAGAATTCTACTCGACTATTTAATAATAACTTAATCCAAACTCTCTCCATTTACCTGAAGTTTGTCAGCATCCTGAACTGGACTGAGCCTGGTAGGAAAGTAAGAAGAATAACGTTAAGAATATCATGTGGTAACTTTTTGTTTTGGCAAAGAACGTCTTTTATTGTGGCCATCTACTAGCAAACTGTGATGGAATAAAGAGCTACTGTTGAATAGAATCCCCATTTTTAAAAAGGCACAATCTCCAAATTTCCTGACACTTGGGAACCACCTAGGTTTCCAGCCAGGAATAAAACGAATAGTGAAAAACATTCATGTACTCTGGAAATCCATTTAACAGAATGTCAGCAGCCACCACTTTTCCGGTTTCATTAGCATGGAATAATGATCAATTTTAGAAAAAATAAACATTACTGGCAGCAGTTATCTGCCTAGAAAACAACAACAACAAAAAAAACCAGAAGCACCCTAGCCGGTTTGGTTCAGTGGCTAGAGCGTGGGCCTGCGCTAGAAGGGTTCCAGGTTCGATTCCTGTCAAGGGCACATGCCCGATTGTGGGCTCAGATCCCAGGTGGTGTGCAGAAGGCAGCTGGATCAATGATTCTCATCATTGATTTTTCTCTCTCCCTCCCTCTCCCTTCTTCTCTGAAATAAGTAAAAATATATTAAAAAAACAACACACACACAAAGCTTTAATGGATTTTAAAACCAAAGGAAGCCAGACACTTGTTTGCCCAGAGCCAGAGCCCAAGTGTTGAGAACAGGCGTCCTCCCTTGCTCAGCTTCCACAATCCTTAAATAGACACACGCTGCCCGGCTCTCAGTGCATGCATCTTTCTCAGATGGAATTGTTTAAACAGTCTGGCTCAACACCGAAGGCAACTGTACAACAAAGCCCGGCCATGGCCTTTCCCTGTGTGGCGGTGCGACCCACCAGAGACGGAGGCACTGGGGCAGCAAGCGTTGTCCGTGTGCTGAGAACACGGCCTGCAACACACCATTTCCCTCTTTGGAAGCATGATAAAAATAGACCCCTCTCCGGTTGCCTAATCAGTACAAGGATCTTGCACAACTGAGGCCGACCCGTACACCACACCAGCCTCGCATTTCGAAAGGAGATTGCTAAGTAGTATCTCCGAGGGCTACAAGGATTCCTTCGTTCGCTCACTGAACTCTAAACTGAGACTTTCTCATGTGGACACTAACTTTCTGCAGCAATATGTACGGAGTAACGAACCCTTCGTGTGCCCACTGAGCCCCAAACTTGGTGCTTCCTGGAGACAAAGCTTTCCCCGGGGCAGCCGTGCGTGTTTATCTTGGTGGAACCCGTGGTCCAGATGCTCCCGCAGGACTCGCCCCTGGACCTTTAGAAAAGCCCATCCACCGTGGCAAGGGCAGGGCAATCGTGGCGGGAGAGAGTGGGCGAAATTACCCCCGTTTGTTGCCAACACCGTCATTACCCTGCTCCGCACGGAAGCGCAGCGCCTTCCAGACCCGGGATGGCAGCCGCGTCCTAAACTGGCTACGCCGGGTCATCAGGGCCCTGGGCAGGGCACCGCCCCGGCCTCCGCGCCTCCGCCCGGGTCAGGCTAATCCTCCAAATGCTAACGTTCCCATGGAAAGACGTTCTCAGCTCCCTGCGGTCCGATCCCTGGGGCGTCGGGGCCACAGGCACGAGAGGTGCCAGGCTCCCGGGCACTGGGGAAAAGGGGGACCCGAGGTGCCACGAGGGTGCGTCCCGGGGCGGGAGCGTCCCCAGCACCGCGGTGGGGTCCCCACCCAAGTGGGCCTATCAGAGAGGCTCCCCCGGGGGCTCCATCCGCGGAGCTGGCAGCGCCTCTCCCCAGGGGTCGCCGAGCTGGGGCCGAACCCCGATCTTGGCGGCACAGACGGGGCAGGCCCGGGACAACAAGGGCACCCCTAGGGTCGCCAGAGAGACCCCCCCGGCCACGTGGCCGCTCCAGCGTCGAACCACACGGGAGCCACTTACCCAAGTCGCGCGCCGCGTCCGAAAGGGGAGGGCGCCAGAGAAACCAAGTTTAAAAGGGGCCTGGGCTGTCAGCACCGGAGGCAGCCAACCAAAAAGTTGCCCCAGTGCCCCTCCCGGCTCAGCATCCCGCCCCCACCCAGCACCGCCCGCTCCCGCCCCGCCCGCGGCCCCCAGAGGCCTCGCGCGCCCCCTGCCGGCGGCCTGGGGAACGCGGGGCGGGCGCCGGCCCAGTCCCCCAGCCCCGGCCCAGAGACTGCGGCCTCGGGGGAATCCACCCTAACACCTCCCTGGGTGTGGTGTCCATGTACCTCCCTGCAGGTTCCATGAAGCCCCTGACATTCACATAATGTTAGGTACCCGCCGCGCCCGAATACCCCATGCCTGCCTTCCCCTAGGGTGGCCTGCACGTCACAGAGGGACAGAGGGACAGAGGAGCCCTCCCCAGCCTCACTCTCACACGTCGTTTTATCTGCAACCTGCCCTTGGGATTTTGGGATTTGGGTTTAGGGCAACGGGTATTATAGAGGGCTGGCTCTGCCTGGCGTCGCGCTGGGCGCTGGGGTGTGAGGGCCAATGAGACACTGCCCCTGCCCTTAAGGAACGTAAGGTGAGGTCCATCCGCGGACAGGAGCCCACATAGCGTGCCAGGGACGCGGCACAAAGCAAGCCCCCCGCTGAGGACTCAGTGAAGGCTTCCCGCGGGAGGGGGTGCCTAGCTGAGTCTAGCATTCCCAGGAGGAAGCTGACAGCACATCAAACATACGAGAGGGGGAAATCAGAGGCCTAGAGAGTTGAAGAGCCATAGAGTAGAAGGGACTTGACACATCATCCAGGGTTTCTCTGCTGGAGTAGAGCCGGCCTTAGGCTCTTCTCCAATGGCAGAGTTGTCATGGTGTTGGAATATCAGCTCCATGAGGACTCCTCCACGGAATCCCCAGAATTCAGCCTCATTAGTGCCTGGGTAAGTGGGAAATGACTCAGGGCAACAGATTTGCCATTTATCCTCCATATGCCTTTAGAGTTGGGTAGACACTATAAAGCTCTTCTAGGCTCACATGGTAGGTAGCAGGGGTGGGGTCTTACCCAGGCTGTAGCTTTCCTAGGTCACCTTGCGTGTGCCTTTATCCCTGCATTCCCAGTCCTTGGCCCAGGGTTTGGTGCTGTCAGTGGATTTCCCCTCTCAGTGTGTATTTGGCCGGCCTTTCTAGAGCAGGCATCCCCGGGCATCAGGTGTTGGGTACCTCTTTGCTGACAGAGGGGAGCCACCCCTCCAGCCCCCCACACTCCCCACCCACCGCCTGACCCTGTTTCTCTGTAGAGGAACTTGTGTTGGATAATGCCGCTAGCCTCTGCCCACACGCTCCTCATTCCCTTCCAGAAGAGAAGACATTCCAATAAAATCCTGTGCTAACATGAATTTTTAGAGCATGCAAACTAGGGTAGGCTTGTTGGTTTCCCTCCCCTGCCTGTCCCCTGTTCCCAATGAAACAGGCCAAGATTCCGATCTTCTTTGATGGGAGGGGAGATGGGACAAGAAGCGATCACTTGGAAGCCGTTGAGGAGTCCCTCCCCTTTGCCACTGCGTTTTTCCAATAGTCCAAACCAAGTGGGAGATTATTTCTCATTAACCCTGCAGTAACACGATCCTGCATTTTACTCACTCTAAATGCTTGCCCCCCACATGTTATGGCAGGTGACATCCAATGACTCATCTTTCTCAAAGAACAGCAAATCCATTAGAAAGATGTTAGCTGTGAGGATTCAGGTTCTTTTTCTCCCCTCAGTGCCCGGGACTAGTTTAAGGAAATGGTGACTCAAGGTCTGGACTGAGAAGGGGGATAGAACAGACAGCTCTAAAGACTCGATCTTATCAGTAGGAAAGCTAACACTTTAATTTCCATTCTGTCTTATGCCTGAGTGGGTTCTGAGCATGGAAGGGGAAGAAAGCACATTATTTATGGCCCTCCCCAAACCCTGCAGTTGCCTGACCCTAAGACTCCCTTGTTCTCTATGGACTAACATTAGACATATCTAGGACATTTACTTTTGCAAATTAATGGGGCCATTCATTTACTCTTGTCTTTGTGTTTAGTGCAAATTTATTGTGTTATTGTAGTGTAGAGTCAGAAGTTAAAGCAATGACTGACATTATTTATGATTTAAATGATCACTCCAGTTGGGTAACATTTTAATTAGTGTCATTGGGCTGTTTGCCACATGCAGGCCTCAGCTCAGCAGCCTGCCTTTTCCAAGCAGCTGTAGGCTTGTTTTCAAGCCAAGAGAGAATGTCTGCCCTCCCTGGGGCCTATTGGTTTTATCTGCCTAAATAAATGGTGTAGATGATCAGTAATTAGAGGATGTGCAGCAAAGTCTCCTGGAAGCCCTGCAATACAGATGTGCTTGTTTCTGACCCCCACATGGGTACAAACACTCTTTTTTTTTTTTTTAATACTCACCAGAGGATATTTTTTCATTGATTTTAGAGAGAGTGGAAGAGAGAGGAAAAGACAGAGGAAAATATCAATGTGAAAGAAACACATTGATTGGTTGCCTCCTGCACGAGCCTGACCAGGGCCCAGGCCAGGGAGGAGCCTGCAACCAAGGTACGTGCCCTTGACTGGAATTGAACCTGGGACCCTTCGGTCTGCAGGGCTGATGCTCTATCCACTGAGCCAAACTGGCTAGGGCCAAACAGACCATTTTTTAAAATTTCTTCTCAGGTTTAATTTTTTACAAACCAGAGCACTGTTGGTCACAATACTTCTAAGAAATATATGAATAATGGTGTAAAGTAGAATTCTATTTAATTAGACATTCAATATATTAAATATGCCACTTTTATTGATAAGAATGATCTGGTTTGTTGTAAAATAATTAAAATGGAAACATACTTTAATGTCACATCTTTCTGCAACTAACCTCTCATTTCATTGTTTCTCTTTGTAGCAAAACTCTTCAAAAGCATTGTCTATGTTTGTCTCCAATTCCTCTCCTCCTCCCCCCCCCGAATTGAATTATATTGGGCAGCCTTTGAAATGGTCCCCAGTGACCCCATATCCTGCTATGTATGCCTTTGGGTGATTCCCACCCCCTTGAGTGCTGCCTGGGCCTAGTGAATTTCGTTTACGGAATAGAGTCAGCAAAAGTGATGGGATGGCATAGAAAAGATGCTCCACATCACATGTCACAAATTAAAACAACAATAATATACTGTTATACTTTATTAGAATGGCTAAATTCCAAAACACATCAGCAAATGCTGGTGAGGATGTAGAACAACAGGAACTTTTATTTCTTGCTGGTGGGAATGCAGAATGGTACAGGCACTTTGGAAGATAGCAGTTCTTTACAAAATTAAACAGACTCTTATCATACAATCCAGCAATCCTGGCCCTTGATATTCACCCAAAGAAGTTGAAAATTCATATGCATGCAAAAACCTACAAACAGATATTTATCATAGCTTTAGTCACAATTGCCAAAAGCTTGCAAGCAACCAAAATGTCCTTCAATAGGTGAGTGGATGGATAAACTGTACATCCAGGTGATGGAATATTATTCTGTGCTAAAAAGAAATGCTCAGTCATTATTCACAGTGGCCAAGACATGGAGACAACCAAAGTGTCCTGTGATAAGAGGACTGGATAAAGAATTGTGGCACATATACACAATGGAATACTACTCAGCCATAAGAAAGGATGAAATAGCACCATTTGCAACAACATGGATGGACCTTGAGAACACTATGGTAAGCGAAATAAGTCAGTCAGAAAAAGCTAAGAACCATATGATTTCACTTATATGTGGGATATAAAATGGAAACTCGTGAACGCAAACAGCAGTGTGGTGGTTGCCAAAGGGAAGGGGGTGGGGGGAGAAAGCGGTGCTAATATAAGGTGACAGGAGAAGATATGGCTTGGGTGGTGGGTACACGGTGCAATATACAGATCTTGTAACATAGAAACCCACATGTTCATGTGGACCAATATCACCCCAACAAGTTGAATAATAATAATAAAAAAGAAATGCTCTATCAAGCCAAGAAAAGACACGGAGAGAGATTAAATAGACATTACTAAGTGAAAGAAAGCCAATCCCAAAAGTTTACCTACTGTGTGATTCCAACTATATGACATTTTGGAAGAGGCAAGCTTTTAGTTTAATCATATGTGTTGCTTCAGGACAATGGAAAGAGTTCTTTTACCTCTTACAGCTTGAGGAAAATAGTCTCAAGTTGGCCAATTCCACAGTGTAAGATATACAGTCACTGGGGATATAATGCCTGTAGTCTATTTAGGAAGAAAGTCACATAAATAAATATTGATAAATCAACCGGAGAGAGTGGAGGCACCGCGAGGAAGTGCTCATCTTGCCCTGGACAGGGGCCGGGAGCAAAACAAGGGAGATTACATCTTGGAGGAGATGACTTGAGTGGACTTTAAAAAGGGGGTGTGGGAAGGCATTTCTGGTAGAGGCGACAGCAAGAGCTAAGAGAGAATATGGTGCCTTCAAGGAACAATGGATCTTTAATCTTTTATCCTAAAACCCAGTCCTTCTGAATATAATGCTTCTTCTATGTCAGGCAGGGAACACGTGGAGATGCACTTGGAAAGATGGAGAAGCCGGTGAACCGAGAGACGGCGTTCCGAACGGAAAGAACAGAGCCTCCAGAATCCTGCAACCGGCGAAACCAGGCGGTTCCTAAACCTGGAGGTGAACTTGAGCCTCCAGAGAGCAGACTCGACCACGCATGCGCCTGTGATAGACAGCGCCGCGGCGGGCGCGAGGCGGGTTCCGGGCGATGAATTACGACCTCTGCTGGCGACGCTCACGACTCGTGCCGTAAAAGTCGCGTGTGGCGCCTGCGCACACCCCTCTCTTTCCTCGGAGGGAGGACTCCGCCGCGGCAGTGGGTGCTCGCAGCGCCGCCCGGGCCGTCACCATGGTGAAGCTGAGCAAAGAGGCCAAGCAGAGGCTGCAGCAGCTCTTCAAGGGCGGCCAGTTTGCCATCCGCTGGGGCTTTATCCCTCTCGTGATTTACCTGGGTCAGTGGGAGAAGAACGCGTGAGGAGACGGGCGGGCGG